ATGTATGGTATATATAATATATATAACATGCATGATATGTATAATATGTATAAGATATATGATGTATACATTATACATAATATATACAATATATATATATAACTTGTATTATGTATATAATATATATAATATATGTTATATACATTATATGCGGTATATATTATATATAATGTATAGCATATATAACATATGTAATGTATATAATATACATAATATATAATATATATGATATGCATAATATTTATAATATGTATAATATACATAATATATGTAATATACATAATGTATATAATATATATAATATATATTATGTATATTATATATATAATATATAACACGTTTTATACATTATATATGCTATGTATATTATATAGTATATATAATATAAATTGCATATATACAATATATTATGTATTATGTACATATAAACAACATATATTATATATTAAATACGCCATATGTATTATATGTAATATATATGATGCGTGTGACATATACAATATATATAATATATATTTCATATAGACAATGTATTATATATGTTATATCGATGTTTACAATGTAAAATACATTAATTATTTGTATTATATAAGCTATATATATAATGTATGTTATATATATATATATATATATATATATATATATATATGTTCATATAATAATATACAGTAATATATAACATATATGATACATATTATATAAAGAATACATATACTATAATAATGTGTATAGCGTGTATAGTGTATGGTATATATATAGCGTATATAATATATAATGTAATATGTGTAATATTTATAATGTATACATTATATATGCTGTATGTATTATATATATTATTTATATAATATGTATTATATATGTTATATATTATTGTATGTTATCATATGTATTTTCGCTAATTCAGATCGTACTTCATAATTTTTTCAACGATTGATAAAACTCGTTATCAATTTTGCTGGAGGAAGACTGTGAGTTACTGCGCTACCTCCGTTACCTGATGCGTAAAAATAGCAGTGTCATTGTTCCCGTAGGATATGAGCGAAGTGAAAGTGAAAAGTATGCTGCTGTCATGCAGTTCGGAGCCGTCGTAGAAACCAAGGGTATTATTAACTACAGATCTACATTGCTAGTGAGTGCAGCATGCCGGTTAGAAGCGTGAGGTATCGGTAGCAAAAATAGTTTCCACCTTTAGTAGATTTAGTAAGTATACTTTCGGGAATCTGTGTAGTATCCAGTTGGTCAAAGTGCTGCTGTTGAGTACTTGACAAAATTTATTTAACTTCAGGAAACAAATCAATAAGAGTAGACAGGGCATGAAAATATCTGTTGTGCCTCGAGGGGTTTTTCCAAACGCTAGTACTGTCTCGTCCGATTAAATTTCTTCAAGCGTGTTCTGGGGCTGATACTGCAGACGGTGACAGTATGTTTTTTGTATGTCGGTTTTTTCTTATTTTTAGCATGTGCGTTTTCAGAGAACGTTTTCAACTTCGGAGAATCTTACAACAACTATTTTCCTTGAAGCAAAATTGAAAAAACTGTGGTGTAACATTAAAATCATGTTGCTTACTGTCAATCGCACCTAGAGTACCATCAAAATGCGCTTTGCTGCGGTAATTGGAAGATAGGTCAGTTGAAGTTTTCGACACACCAGTTGTAGCAGCGTGATTTGTATGGTATAAAAATAGTTGCTTCAGTAGAGTGAAGCTTAAAAGGTTGAGTGAACCGGTCCGTTGATAATCTAACTGTTTTATTGTTGTGGCGTGTTTGTGTGTTATTCTTAAAAATCTTTTAAAATATTTTTCCTCAATTCTTTTCTTTTTAACGTGAATTATTTCCACAAATAGCGAGACTAATTGTACTGCTGAGATGTAACTTAAGTTTAGCGGCTCCCTAAACTCGTTACTGGATAGAAGTTCAGAAAAATGGCGGATGAACCAGTAACCTGGAATGCTTTTCGATCGCAGTCGCGTGAAGTCGGTATGAATGTGCAAATGAAACCATGGATGATTCGCACTTTGCGACTTACAAAAGTAAGTATTGAAACTGTGTCGCGTTACTTTTTTTTGTTACTGTTGACTTATGTTGTATCTTAATTTTTATTTAGCTTATTGTTCACTTTCAGTTTCTGTTCTACATTGTTGGACATATTCTTGTAATCGCTGGTGCGGCCGCATCTAAACTTTGGGTTACACTATTGGCTACGAATGTTAAACAGAAGCAGTTAAAAATTGGCATAAAGCATTATAAAGCGTGTACGAGGAAAAGTGTGTTTTCGTGCACAATATTTTTTAAATTCTAATATTTAGAATAGTTTTTCAAGCGAATCTAATGAGATCCATATTCAGTAGTATTTAATAGATAGTTTGCATACTTTTTGAATATACCTTTCTTTTTTATGCCTGTTAATGCGACATTTCAAGCAAAAAAAGAAGACCATCTTTAATTTTTTCATTAGCCCTTTAGAAGCGAGTTTCTGCTCTGGTAGTATAAACAATGCATACCAACCGTTTTACGGTGGGTCTTTCAGGTTTTAGTGGTGCAGACGAACGTGATTTTGCAGCAGTTCTGTTATTCTGCTTGTGGTTGATTCAACTAATCCCAGAACTTTTCGCGGGTTTGCAAGCTTTGTGGAGACTAAACTCAAAAAAATCAGGGAAAATTTCGTTTTTGGTAAATGTTACTCTTTATTTGCACTCTTGCCAAACCTGCTTCTCTTCTGTTATTACTTTTTCATCAGTTTTTTTACCAAATTCAAAGTAGTCCACAATAGTATAGCGCTAGCTAACAGTTTAGATCTTATCTTGGTTGAGTAAGGTTTTTAAGATCTCTCAGTGATACTTAGAAAACCTTTAATCTTTAAGTATATTGCCTGATAAGGAGAAAAGAGACTTTGTTCATTCAGACTTTTTATTAATATCAAAATCAGATTTTCACTATCTTATAATGAGGAATTGTATAGGTTATTGCTGTTGAGTGTTCGAGAACTATTGGCAATTCTCTGTTATTCTTTATTGTGTTTCCTGAGCTCGATATTTTACGATGCATCCTTCTTTCTGTATTCGCTGCTTATATTCCCTTTTACCAAGCCGCTTCAAACCGGATTCGTCGGGCTTTTTATCCTGTCAAGTAAGTTTCTTCAAGCACTTATGTTTTACGAGAAGATTATGTATATTATGGTTTTAGTTCCTTGGCACGTCGGTCTTCATTTCTAATGTCATCTAGTCGATGGACTATGCTTTTGTTAATTGTATTGTCTTCGTCATATTTATGGCCAGTAATGGGAGCAAGATTAAGATACACGTTCGTTATTCCATTCGCTCTCCTGTTTTCTGCTATCGGTTTTTGGGATGCGTGGGTTCAGCCGTATCATGCGGCATCAGCATTCCACATTCTCTATGAAGTAAGTGCCGGTCAGTTAAGGGCACTACTCTGCTGTCATCGTTGTGTAGCAATTGAGTATTTTTAGTTAAAATATGGCTTTCGTAAGTTAACGGCTTCTACTCGCTGTCTTGTATCACTGTGCAGGTTTGTATTGTCGACATTAATCTTATCACTTTCACCGCACATGAAATGGTCCAGGTGCTGGAAACAGATTTTGTCTGAGAAGTCTGACGAAGATATTGATGAATCTAGTTTCACCAGTTCTTCGTAAGTATTGTTTCCTTTGATTGTTCTGTGTTGCAGTGCATCATTATGAAAGCATAAAACCATCTTTCAAATATTTTAAAACATTTCTGCTTACAGAATTACCTTGGCTTTCGCAGTTATTGTCATCAATTTCTTTCTTCGGACTTCGTCACGACTTCTTGCTGCAACTAACATGCGTATAGCTTCATCGCTACACCCATTATTCATCGTACCCCCAATTTTAGTTGCATTTTCCTATTTCAATTCTTACGTGACACCCTTCTGTGGATTACCATTTATAAGTAGTAGTAAAAAAGAGATTGGTCTTCTTTGGCAATCATTCAGTCGAAATTGGCCCGGCACTCCTTTTTCCGACATTCTAGTCACTTGGGCATGGGTTATCGCATACTTATTTTGGGCAAGGCGCCACGTTAAGTCGCCAGAATTTGAGGAGAATAGTGAAATGTAAACGACTTGGATGTTTTTTTTGGCTTTATCAAGAATACATAGTTATTAACATTTTTAATGAAGTTTTAATTTTTTTCAAAAGGTAAATTCATTTTTTTTAATTTATTGCAGAATTGATTCTATGACACCTGTGGTAAACGGACTGTTTATTGAACAGTCGCTTGTCGTTTATCGTCACTCGATCAACAACAAAGTATCAGTTTTGGTTTCTAGGGAAGGTGACGTCTTCAGTTATCAATGAAGCTCTACATAATTGACAAAGGTTTTCAGGTAGTTGATTTGGATGTTGAGGAAAATGAAGAAAAATATGAAGGTGGGGGAAAAGATGTGACTGATGACGACGTTGATAAAACAATAACACTCTATGCCTGTGCAACTATGTGGCATGAAACCCGCAATGAAATGAAGCAGATGGTCATGTCGATAATGAGGTACTATTACTGCTGTCAAAGTTTCAGATATGACTGCTTTTTTGTGGTAAAGAAGTTGAACCAAAGAAATTTCAGGGTTGATAAAGAACGCTCTTTGATCATGGCAGGTAAATCCATTGGACGTTTGAAATTCCGTTTTGAGGGTCAGTTTTTACCAAATTTCTAAAAGTCAGCCTTTAAGAATAATTGCTCTGACAAATTCGTCCTTTTTTTGTAGTTTGAAACCGCCTTGCAGTTGATTTTCAAACTACAGTCGTTTTTTCTTTTAGTAGGTTTTTTTGACTGGGATCAGGTCACTAGCTGAATAGTTGTTTGGAAGAGCAGTATGCGCATCGTATCTTCAATACTATCAAATATTATATTTGCAGCTCATATATTTTTTGATGATGCGTGGGAGGATCAGGAGGAATGCGGACGCGTCCCTAACGAATACTTCAAAACTCTTTTTAATCTCCTTATTGAACTTACTAGGTACTCAAACGTTGCGAGTTATTTGTGGTGGTGTTATTAAGCTGTGGCTTTGATTTTCAGTTGTGAGAATAATGATTCGAAGTACGTAAATGCACGAGTGTTAGTAAATACACCTTATGGAGGAAGATTTGTTATACGCTTACCCGAAGGAACGTTGCTATACGTGCACCTTAAGGACAAGAAGCTAATAAGAAATAAAAAAAGGTGGTCTCAGGTACTTTAATTACTGCTGAAGAGCGTCTTCTTTATTGTTGTTTCGTACCCAGAATTGAAATTATTCGTTGGTTTACAACGCGACTTACAATTGGTAGGAAATGTGAAAGTGTCTCAAACGTATTACGCTTCATGTAATCATCCTTTTCTGTTCTCAAGTAATTTTCCCGCAGGTAATGTACATGTATTACCTGTTGGGGCACCGGATTATGGACTCTCCCCGTAGTGTTGAGGACCGACAGTTAGATGCAGATAACACTTATATTCTCGCTATTGATGGCGATTCAAAGTTTCAGCCTTCCTCTGTGCTGAAATTGCTACAGCTTTTGGACTCAAAGAAGGACATTGGCTGCGCCTGTGGTCGTATTCATCCGCTTGGAAATGGTGCGACTCCTCTTATTTAATATTTTTTCTCCAACGAAGGAGCCCTGCAAACGCTGCATCAATGCATAGTTTTTTTTATCCAGGAATGATGGTTTGGTATCAGAAATTCGAGTATGCGATTGCTCACTGGCTGCAGAAAGCTGCAGAGCATGCATATGGATGTGTACTTTGTGCACCTGGGTGCTTTTCAATGTTTCGCGCATCAGCCCTTATGGACGATAATGTTATGCATAAATACACAAAAAAACCTTCTGAACCACGACATTTTCTTCAGTACGACCAGGTTTGTGAAGTGTAAAAGTTGTTGACGGTATTGCGAATAAAACGCATTTTAGGGGGAGGACAGATGGCTTTCTACCTTGCTTTTGAAGCAGGGATATCGTATTGAGTACGAAGCTGCTGCAGATGCTGAAACATACGCTCCTGAAGGTTTCAATGAGTTTTACAACCAAAGAAGGCGATGGACCCCTTCATCTGTAGCAAATACGATCGATTTGTTGGCAGACTACAAAGTTTGTACGTTTGGAACAAATTTTGAATTTGTCCGGATTCTTATTTCTTCACATCCTGCAGTCTGTTTATGGCTATTTTTTGAAGTGTAATTTTAGCGAGCTTGTGCAAACAACAATAGTATTTCAAAGCTGTATATAGCGTATCAAAGTATAGTGACCGGCTGTGCGTGTTTCGGACCAGGAATTATGTTCACTATGATCGTTTATTCTATGGTGTATTTTCTTATCATTAACTCTGCTTTTTCAAAACCGAAGACCTGTTACTCATAGGATGCCACTAGCAGCCTTTGAAAATGAGATTTTTGGAAGGAATAGTTCAGCGCTTTTTAAATCTTATGATAGTTTCTTTTAGAGCGCTGTCTTCCAAGTGCACTCAGATACTGTTCTGAAGTACAACGCTATTCCTCTGCTCCTTTATATAGTTGTATGCTTCGTTGGTGAACCTAAACACCAATTGGCTCTAGCAAAAATACTATCTGTGGTGTATGCCTTCATCATGGTTGCAGTTTCTGTTGCAACAGCTTGCGAAACCGCTTTACAAAGTACTTCCTTTCTGCTACGGTATTTAAGCAATCAGTTTGAAGTCAACCAATTCCTTGAGTAGAAGGCAGTATAAAATATCATAATTTTGTGCAAGTTAGAATGTATTAAAAAGTTTTAAGTAAACATTTAACGGTCTTTTTACCTTATGGATAATGTTCCGAGTTCTTTAAGCTATCTTTGCACCTACTGCATTCTTCGCCCTGGTCATGTCAGCAATGTTCATAGGCGCAGCTGCGATGCATCCGCAGGAGTTCTATAATATCATATATGGTATCTTTTTCATGCTTTTTTTTCGAAATGTCAAGGTACAATGCAGTTTTTCTTTTAAGATTTAGCTGTGATTTATTGTTTTTCCAGGGTTTCCGTTCTTCCTTATGATTCCTTGCACTTTCCTGTTCATGGCCCTTTACTCCTTGATAAATCTTCACGTCATGAACTGGGGAACGCGCGAAAGCGCAAAAAAGAAAGAGGAAGAGGTAGTAAAAACCGTCGTTCTTTAACTTTTTGGGGCGTTTTAAGATCTAAGCATAGCTGTTCAGGAGAAATCCGGTGGGTCCATTCTTCGTCGACTGTCTAGACGTTTTAGTAAGAAAAACCTGCTAAGATCCCTTTCCGCACTGAAAGGACGAAAATTTCTGGCTCCAAATATTTCTGATTTGGAGCGACGCATAAACGAGCTTGAAAGGGTGGTAGAAGACGTAGATGAGGTATTTTTAAAAGAGGTTGTTTTAATCATTGTCTGTAGACGGTGCAGTGCCTTGCATTCTGAACCTGTTATGTTTCAAGAACAAAATTGTGTTATAATTGTTATAGTTACTTGATATTTTTATATTGAGTGTGAGCTTTAAATGATTCTTATTACAGAAACCACAAGAAAAGTTTGCTACTCCTGCTGCAAAACTAAAAATTCTTACTACACCTGAGACAAATGGTTCAACTTCTGTAGGTTTTTTTGAAAATTAGTTGCATTATTTGCTTAAATAACTCGTTTTCTATCTCACATGTTAATGTAGACGGCAAGCACAATATCTTCCTCAGCAAGAAACGTCAGAAGGGTCACAGAAAACCGCTTTATGTGGATGGAGCAAGAATATCTTCAAATCTGCACTCGTGGTCGGCTTAGCCCAAGCGAACAAAGTTTTTGGAATGAATTAATCGATAATTACCTCAAGGTTAGACTACAAACATTTGCCAATGGCTTAGTGGTTGAGTTCCAGTGGTTTGTTTTTCCAGCCACATGTAATGTCTCCTGAAGAAAGTAAACGTGCTGCAGATGGGCTTATTGGTATGAGGAATCAGATAGCGACTTTAGTGTTAATGATCAATGGATTGTTTGTTCTAACTATATATCTCGTTCAGAAACATAAAGATATTCTGAGTATAGAGTGGTTACCGTACGGCAAGCGATCTTCGATTGTTTATTGTGGAGAAGGATGAATTTCTAATTTTGTGACTCCATTATTTTTATTGA